ACTAAGTGTTTATAATAAAAAAATGATTTTTAAAAAAAACAGAATTTGTAGTAGTAGTTTATCTTGCACACAAGTTTATAGATAAAGCCAATTTATTAGTTTCCTTATATTTCTAAATTTTAATGGCATGACAAAGTTAATACTATTACAAAGTGATTTCTGAGTTATTTGTTATGCTTTCTTAGCACCTAGTACGGTTTCAGAGTGTTTCATTAAGTAATCAGATTTAAGTAAATTTATTATTTAAATTTGTTGCCAGTATGCTTTTTCTGATTTGAACTTTAAGTTCAAATCAGAAAAAGCATACTGGCAACGAAGAATAATTTTTTCTAACTTACCAATATATTAATTTTTAAAAGAGCACAAAACAAATCTATATTTCAGTTTCAGTTTTTTGTTGAATTCTCTAAATATGTAGCATGAAGGATAATAGTGAATAAAATTTAAAAAATAATTTAATAAATTTAAATAACATGAGCTCAGTGCAATAACATCTCTGTCAGTAATTACACTGGCATATTAGTAAATATACTTCATTAGTTTTTAATACTATTAATAATACTAAGTTTGAGAATCCACTACCATTGAGGAAGTTACTTATATTTTCATATTAAGTTATATATACTTATATTTTCATATTAAGATTATTACACATACTGCTAAAGATTTTGCTTAAATTTTCGGAGTTATATAGTTGTGAGAGGGTTATAACCACAACTAAAGTAGCTTCTTCTTCTTGGCTTTCTTGGCTACTGGGAAATTGTAATTTAACAAAAAAATAGCGCTGCATAACTTTCATAACAATTGGTTTGTGATAAGTAATTTCATATTTGATGCCATAAACAAGTCAGCTTTGATTTTGTAACAGCTATAGTTAACAACAGAAATTAGTGTTATTAATTTTATTAATATTCAATTTATTAATAATACTGTAATAACTAAAAGTAATACTGCTAAATAGCCTAAAAAATGTCCATTTAAGTTTTAAAATTCTAAGTTTTCAAAATTTTTTTAAATTCTAAGTTTTAAAAGTTTATTTAAATTCTAAGTAAAATAATTAAAGTTAAAATGAATTCATTAAAAAAAAAAATACATAAGGATCATTTTTATTTAGTTAGTGTCAGGTCAGGTTTTCCTGCTACTGGTAACATGTAACCCAGTACAACCTGCTTCATGTCCTGCTGCCTTGTAGGATACGCTTTTTTAGGCAAAGGCTAGGAGAAGTTAACTCCGAATTAAAACACCCCCCTGCCTTGGGGCTCTTGGTTGAGTAAAGGCTAGAGATGGTGTCTCGATAAAAATACTCATCTTGGGCAGATGTTACATGCATCCAGCTGCTGTCTTGTAGAAGGCCTCCTAGGCAAAGACTTAAGGGGTAAACAGATTCTATCTGTTGACCAGCCTCGCACCCCTTCCTCATCTATTAGGCTGGCGCAGATGTATTTTTAATACATTGTTTCCAGTTTAGGATGTTGAACGCTGGATCTTCTTGACTCAATGCGTGGGTATTGCTTGTGTCTCTATTTTTACGACTGGGCAACTCATTCTATTATCTCCTAATGAGGGTACAGCTCTAAAACTCAGTTTTATGGTTCTGAGGCCGGCTGGTAGTCAGGTTTCCCGAACTCTGTGGTAGCTCTCAGAGAGGCTGATTCCATCAACAGTCAAAAAATATCAGAGTACTAACAGTGCCATGTTGCGCATGGATGGTGTCCCTGTTTGTACTTTTGGTGTGCATTGCAGAGGCCACATTTGGAGCCCTTTGTTACGGCTTAGGGTTTATTAATAGTAATGAGGCTATTGCTTAGTTGTTAAATAGTGTACTGAGTACTATCTATACTTGAGTCAAGTTCTTTATAAATTTAAAATGACTAAAGTACCTAAAACTAAAAAACACAAAAAACCATCGTCATCACCAAGTTCTCTAAACCTATCATTTACTAATATTCGTGGTCTTCGAAGTAACTTTTCTTCTGTTGAGTCTTATCTCTTGCAAAGTTCACCAGACCTACTTGCTCTTTGTGAGACTAATTTGAGTTCGGCTGTCCCATCTTGTGATCTTAGTGTTGATGGTTATCTTCTTTTAATTCGTAAAGACTCCAATAATCACATGCTTGGCCTGGGCATCTACATTCGTAAGAACTCACCCATTTGTCGTGAAACTAGGTTTGAATCTACAGACTATTCATTTATGTGCTTTCGTTTAGCACCACTTCACTCTATCACCTTTCTCTTTGTTCTATATCGCTCTCCTTCATCCCAAGATTGCACTATTCTTGATGTTATTTCTGATCAAATTGACCAAGCCCTCTCTCTTTATCCATCGGCCAATATCGTCGTTGTTGGTGACTTTAATGCCCATCACACTGATTGGCTTGGCTCTAGTGTCAGTGACTCTGCTGGCGTTAAGGCCCTCAACTTTTGCCTTTCTCAATCTCTAACTCAAATAGTCAAATTTCCAACTCGTTTTCCAGACAACCCTAATCATTTACCTTCTCTACTCGACTTATGTCTTGTTTTGGATCCTAGTCAGTGCTCAATTTCTCCACATTCACCCTTAGGTACTTCTGATCATGGTTTGATCTCTCTAAAACTATTATCAAATTCTTCTACTTCATCAGAATCCCCCTATCATCGTACCACATACAACTACCTTAAAGCTGACTGGGACTCTTTCCGTGATTTTCTTCGTGATGGCCCTTGGGTAGAAATCTTTCGTCTTCCTGCTGACAAATGTGCTTCTTACATAACTTCGTGGATTCAGGCTGGCATGGAATCTTTTATTCCCTCTCGACGATTCCAGGTCAAGCCTCACTCTTCTCCTTGGTTTTCCTCACATTGCGCTGCAGCAATTTCTAATCGAAACCGTTACTTCCATATCTATCAGCAAAACAATTCTCCTGAAAACAGACATCTGTTCACTATCGCCAGAAACCATTGTAAAAAGGTTTTGTCTGACGCCAAAGCTCGCTATTCCCAGGTCATTAAATCTCGTGTCTCATCACAAAAATTAGGCTCTCGAGACTTCTGAAGAATCTTTAACAGTATCAATAATAAGGGCAAATCTGTTATTCCTTCTCTCTTGTATGGTTTAGACTTTGTCACCTCACCTAAAGACAAAGCTGAATTGTTTGCTAAGAACTTTTCATCAATATCATCTCTTGATTCCACTAGTTGTGTTTTACCTGACATAGCCGTCAAACAGGTTGATCCCTTGCTTGACATTCGCATCACTTCAGCTTCTGTATCTAAAGTAATTTCCTGCTTAGACTCTTCAACAGCTTGTGGTCCTGACAACATTCCTGTTGTAGTTTTGCAGAGGTGTTCTCCGGAGCTTTCATCCATACTTTCTAAACTATTTAACAAGTGCTTATCAGAGTCTTGTTTTCCATCATGCTGGAAAGCAGCATCTGTTATCCCTATTTTCAAAAATTCCGGAGAGTGATCTGATTCATCTAACTACCGTCCCATTAGTCTTCTTTCTGTCATAAGCAAGGTTTTTGAATCTTTAATTAACAAACACTTAATCTCTCATCTTGAATCAAATAACTTACTTTCTGACCATCAATATGGGTTTCGGTCTTCTCGTTCTACAGCTGATGTGCTAACAGTAATAACCGATAGGTTTTACCGTGCATTAGATAGAGGTGGAGAGGTTAAGGCTATCGCACTTGACATTTCTAAAGCTTTTGATAAAGTTTGGCATGCTGGTCTTCTCCATAAGCTTTCTTCTTATGGTGTAGCTGGTAATGTCTTTAAGATTATTGAGTCCTTTCTTTCCAATCGTAGTATAAAAGTTGTCCTCGATGGACAACACTCTTCTTCACATCCTGTAACTTCAGGGGTTCCTCAAGGTTCAATCCTTGGCCCTATACTCTTTTTAATTTACATTAACGATCTTCCAGATATTCTCACATCTAAGGTGGCATTATTCGCTGACGACACTACCATTTACTCTTGTCATGATAAGAAGCCTACACTCTCTGATTGCTTGGAGGGGGTATCTGAGCTTGAAAAGGATCTCACTTCTGCTACAGCATGGGGCTCACAGTGGCTGGTGAACTTTAATTCAGATAAAACTCAATTTTATTCGGCCAATCGTTATCGTAATAATTTAGATCTTCCTATATTTATGAATGGTAATGTACTAGATGAGTCATCTACCATTCATCTTCTAGGATTAACTCTTACTTCTGATCTTTCTTTTAAACCGTATATCAAATCCATTGCAAAATTAGCATCTGCTAAGGTTGCATCTCTTTATCGAGCTCGACACTTTCTTACTCCAGATTCTATTCTCTATCTCTATAAATCTCAAATCCGTTCCTGTATGGAATACTGTTGCCACATCTGGGGCGGATCTTCTAATGATGCTCTTTCTCTTTTAGACAAGGTGCAAAAACGAATTGTAAACATAGTTGGACCTGCTCTGGCAGCCAATCTCCAACCTTTGTCACATCGTCGTAATGTTGCTTCTCTTTCTCTTTTCTACAAATACTATAATGGGCACTGCTCTAAAGAGCTAGCGTCCCTTGTGCCATCTACTAAAATTCATTCTCGTGTTACTCGCCATTCAATTAAGTCTCATCCTTTTTCTGTGACTGTTCCTAAGTGCTTCAAAAACTCTTATTCTTCTAGTTTTTTTCCTGAATCATGTTTTGAAATAACTATAAAGTTATATGTTCTTTAATAATAATATTGTTTCTTTGTATTGGTAAATTTTTTTTTTATATTCTAGTTTCAAAAGTCACTTACTGTATAGATCAAGTTTTTACAATGAACTTAATTTTCATCAAAGGTTTCTATGTACTAAGGTAACTTTAAATGTTTATTAATGTTAACTTTATAATTTAGCATGTTTTATCTTTTTTTAAACATTTTTTTAAATTAGGTTTTATCAATGCATGATTATGTTGATGACAAAATTCGTAACTTCAGTATCATTGCACACATTGATCATGGAAAAAGTACCTTGGCAGATAGACTTCTTGAGTTTACTGGTAAAATAACATTTTCTTTGCAGTGTTCAAATTTGTGCAATGCTATTTTTATACTTTGTTATGTAGATTCATTATTTATGCATTTTTTATATACATCTATTATTTATGTATATTTTATGTACATCCAGGGTGTTAGCCAGAAATGTATATTTTACAGCGTTTTTGCAATATTGGGAGTATTTATTAAAGATGCCACGAATATTCTGCAACTATTCAGTATTCTGTGTATTCAGCAACATTTTATACTATTCTGTATTCATCCAAATATTGCAAACTATTTGGTTGAAATACTGAAAAATGAAAAAAATCACATTAGAAATAAGTTAAATTACTATATATTACTATAAATAATACAGTAAACAGATTGTTCAAATAATTAATATATTATATATATAAGATTCTATTAATAACAAGTTTTTTTAATTTAAAACAAGTTTTTTTTAATTGAAAACAATTTTTTTGGCTTTTGTGGAAATGATTCTGCTTTTCCTCATAAGTTATACTTGTTTCCAAAAATAGCCGCTCACTATACACACTACTATCTGAAGATTATAAATAAATCTGGAGATTATAAAGCTTGGATATTGTTTTGCATTAGCTGACCACCACTTGTAAGGGTTATCTTTTCCAAACTAGGCAAACAGTTTTCATGAATGAATCAAATTTGTTTGCTGTTAAACTTTTCTGTTTAACATTTTAATCTGTGTATGTGTTTTTTGTTGCAACTTCCTCAAAACAATTCCAGAAACTATTGTGTATCTTAATTGTTTTATCATTTTTGTTGAACCGCGCTTCAAGTTTAGATTAAAGCATTCAATTCAGTGTTCTCCGTGCTGTCTTTTACTTTTCCAGTTATTTTAACGTGGCAACATGGAATTACCATAGAAATGCAAGAAATATCTGAGCTGGTTATTTTTATAACTTCTTCTAATGGATTGAGAAGTTTGATACATTGTTCCACTAACTCTTATTGAGCAGGTGTTAAACTGTTTAAGGAATCATGATCAGTTATGCACAATGAAACATTAGAATAAATGTTTGCTTTTGCTCTAATAATTGCTCCAAAAATAGTATGTTGAATTCCAGCATGTGCTTATGTTTTGTATTAATTGATGGTCTAGCAGTTAAAGTTCTTGATGAATGCATTTAGTTTTTCTTGTACTATACTAGAGTGGTTAAAATGGGTGACAATTTACTTAAGAAACTTGGATTGTTGGGCTGACATGTCCACATACAGGGTGTGTGCCAGATCAGGGAAAACAGGGAAAAGTCAGGGAATTCAGATATCTGAAAAAAAATCAGGGGATTATTATGGAAATTAGGTTAAATTCTAGAAAAATCAGGGAGTTTAAGTTCTGGCAGTTTACATTCTTCAGTTTAAGAGAGAAATCAGGGAAAATGGCTCTTTATCAAACTTACATAACTTAAATAAGTACACATAGTATAAAAGTTTATTTGGCAGATTTTATTTTTTTATAAACTTCTCTTGATACATTTAATGTGAGTTGTATTATTGTTTATAATTTTAAAGTTAAAGAGCATTTTTCTAAATGAATTTAGGTCAGTTTTTATGGAGTTGAGTTTGGATAACTTTAAATTAAATCAGGGAAAACAGGTCAGGGAAGATCAGGGAAATATCACATAAAAGTCAGGGAAATCTACCTTGAAATATTGGCAAACATCCTGACATGTCAGGTATCACGGATACTGCTGTTGCTTGTGAAATGCTAGCTTTAATTTAAGTGCAAATTCTATTTCAGTCATATAGGTGCGCCAAGGTATTTTGTATTGCGGCACTGCTATTTCCATAACCTTGTCGAAGCCAACTTGTTTAACAAGTGATTATGGATCGTTGTCTAAGGCAATCATTTCTCCAATTAAGTAATGATATTTTATTGATTTTGGATACAATTTTTTTTTCAGCTGTTTCTTTTAAAGTTAAATGTTTATTTTTAACATACCTGTTACTGCTAGTATCTCTTGAGGTGAGAGAACCCTCATTTTTGCTTCCTCTTGCTGGCAGAATCCCAGTATCTCGTACTGCTCAGAATGCTTGTTTTGAAAGTGGTTTTTCAGAGAAGTTGCAGCTGGAAACAAAAAAGTACTTTAACTTAAAGTAAATAAAGTACCTACTGTGCAAAATAACTAGGAATGAAAAAATTACAAGCGTAAATATTTTGTTGTATAAAAACATTTAATTATTTATAATATACTTAAGAGTTTTACTTACTTGCTTTCCTTCTCCACCATGCAAGATCTTGCTTTTACACAGCAAACAAAATGCTACTTTATTGCTTTTCCTATAAAATTCATAATATTTCCAAATAGGGGATATTTTATTAAAAGATGCCATTTTTAAATTTTTTTGCAAACTAAAATTTGAAATAACTCAACTTTTGTTACTTATTGTAGTTTTTTTGCAAGAAAAACAACAATTAAATATGAAGTCTTTTATGTTTACTAAATTGACTTTTCGATTTAAATAGTTTTTAAAGTATAATTGTTGATGTATTTATACCAAGTCTTCCCAGGAAGCATATGAGCTTGCATGCCTTGTTCATCTGCGTTTAAAGTAATTTTTTTAGACAACTTGATCACATTTTTATATAGTAAGCGTTTCAAGAAATTGCAGCAAAAAAAAAGCTATAAGAAACTACAGAGAATAAAACAGCTATACTCGAAGAAAGGAAATTAATACTATACAAAATAGAAAATCTAATTGAACTAAAAAAAAATTTTAAATTAAAAAAAGTAAAATTTTGTCAAGAAAATAGTATACCTAAATAATTTACTGTTTTTTTTTCTTTTTTTTTTTTTTTTGTCGTTTCTTATTTTCCACTACCAAAATTAATATAAGTCGAGGAAAAAAGCAGATTTTGACAACTTGGTCATTCAGCATAATAATGAAACACTTTATTATTTGCACTAGAAAATTGTGCATTTAAACCTGATAGTTTATTTCCTGATGAACTATTGTTATTGATGATGCTACGAAAGCTTATGAGCTAGTATTTTGTAATTTACTGAACTTTTATTTTATTTTATTTAAAACTTTTTTTTAAGTTTTAAATACACTTTTTCAAACATAGCAGTTGTTAGGTTGATTATATCTAGTATTTTCTATTTGGGCTAATTTCCTAATTGAGCTATATAAAGGAAACAATTTCAGACAGGTATCGAATGTGGTAAATACATTTATAAAAGAAATCATGCAATTCTTTTATTTAATTTTTTCCGTCATTACAAAATTTATTATTCAAATAGTATTTTTTACAAATAAAAAGCAAACAAAGTAGTTTATTTTCCTATTTTATAAGTGTCAAATAAAACAAAATGTTAAACATAACAAAAATGCCAAATATAACCAAAACATTTTTAAAAGCAAAAAGGCGTGAAAACGAATAAACATAAGAAAAAAAATTAACAAAATTTCTCATAGTTCTAACCATAAGAAATAGATAGTCTGGAAGCACGGCCTGTTTCCATTGTTTTACCGTTATAACTTAAAATTTGATATTCGGCCCGTTCACCCTGCACAACTTTAAAAAATGAGCAATGAAATTTATATAGAAACACAGCTTGATGATCTGTATATAGCGATTACTGATGGAATTTTTGACAATAACAAGGAAATTGAGCATGATCTAGATGTTTTAATATTTGAAGATTGTTTGCTATCCAATTTTTTGTGGAACTTGTGTTGTAAAGTTTATAAAACGAAAAATGGCTTAAAAAGACACACAACTTCGAAACACGAACTAATCAACCCAGTGAGCGAAAACAAAGACTCCATATTATTTTGTCATCTTGATCTTAAAAACATTGTTGAAGATTCTGCTTATAAATTGTCAAGTGATTTATGTTTGCCTGAAGAAATTAGAGTTAAATTTTCAAAGCAGAGCTTCAGTTTTAATTTTGAAGATTCTATTTCTCTTTTAGAAAAATTACAGGCTTTTATTTCAAAGTACAATGGTGATGCAGAAAAATTTTATTCTCAGTTTTATGGGTTTCTTCATGAAAATTTATTGCCATCAAAGTTTGATGATATTTTATTGACCAATACTTTGCTTACTGAAATTTCCAATCATATCATTCAAGATCTTTCAGGAAATAAACATAATACTTCATCTTATAATGAAATTTTATCATCCAATAATTTTTCTGAGAAAGAATTAAGTATAATTCAATATTTGGCTGGTTATGTTGTGCAAAAACTTTACTCAAAGTTTAAATTTTCTAAATCTGAGGAGCAGTATAAAAGACAATGCATGGAAATATTATCAGCATAAAAAATTGATTCAAATGATGCCCAACTGTATATTGATACTAAGAATAGAGGTGGTTTATTTAAAACTAACATTTATACTCAAAATATCTTTATTCAATGTGAAACAATTTTTTGTAAACAAAGCAAATCTTTTGAAACATCTATTGACAGCAAAGCCCTGGTTAATGAAATGCTTAAGGACTCAGTTATTATAAGTAACTTAAACAATATATGTTACAGTACTGAAGTGCAGATTGATAAAGAAATATCTTTCTCTCTTCTTGAAAGTATGCTTAATTTGTTCACGAGGGTAAGAAGCTTTTCCTATGCTAGAGATATTCGTGAAAAACATCAGATCAACAAGCGACAAACACGCAAATCTTCTATAAGAACAGAGTTAAGAAAAGCAATGTGCAGCAATGTAGTTGCTCCTTAACTCTGGTTTTCAGGCTTTCAGCTATCTGCTCCAAAAGATAAAAAACGGTTATTTTTATAGCCACAAATTTAATGAAAATGTTATGGCTAAAACAACTTAATTCTCTTTAAATAAAAATATAGCAAGTTATACGTTAAATAAAAAAGAGATTATTAGTTTCATATATAATTGTGTCTTTTATGTAGAACTATGTAAAGTGAGGCAGAATGCCATCCTGTCACATTTTTATAAAGAATAAACCGTCTTGCCACCTTTTCATAAATCTCCTAACATAATGATTATGCAAAATAGTATTTT